CTCTCTCTCTCTCTCTCTCTCTCTCTCTCTCTCTCTCCCCTCCCCCTCCCTCCCTCCCTCTCTCCTTCACTCCCTCTCTCTCTCTCTCTCCAATATTTTCCTCTTGTTTTTTTTAGTCAATAAATAACCGTAAAATTGACGTGACAAAATCATGAGAAAAGGTAGGTGGTGTGTCACGTTAATTTTATGGTAATTTATTGATTACACAGGCCCACAATTTAAAAATTTGTCTGTGCTGGGGGTCTGACTAGGTATACTATACGTATTTTGGGCTGCTGAATCCAAATCTAGTGTCAGATTTGCTCCATCACCCTTGAGTTTCCCGTAAAATCGAGGAAATCGTGAAAAGGAGCAGATATCCATGTTTTTACGGAGCATGTATTCAAGGAAAATTCTAGAGTGACGAATAACCCTATAACCCCACAACCAACGTTGAAAATACATTATGTACTTCAACATCTGATGACTAGAACAACCCAATAACCCATATACCATCATATATATTCGGTTTTAGTTCACCTATCAATCCTTTAACATCGCATAGATTAAAAAATCTAATCTGTGCGTGCCCTATCATGGTCACATTCATGTTATTGTCCACGAGATGGAATCTTTTTTCTATTCGAAATATCAATTCTACAATATATGATCGTCGATCAGATAAATTCTGCTGCTTCAGAGGATGTTGGAGACGATGACAACTGCCCCGTAGGGGATGTGTAGAATGATTCGTTTTCCATGTTGAAGTACATAATGTATTTTCAACGTTGGTTGTGGGATTATGGGGTTATTTGTCACTCTAGAATTTTTCTTGAATACATGTCTCCGTAAAAACATATCTGCTCCTTTTCACGATTTCCTCGATTTTCCGGGAAACTCAAGGGTGATGGAGCAAATTTGACACCGGATTTGGATTTAGCAGCCCAAAATACGTATAGTACACCTAGTCAGACCCCCAGCGCAGACAACTTTTTTTAAATTGTGGGCCTGTGTTATTAGAGCAAAAGGAAAGCATTTGGAATATTTTACAGATGTACTTGATCGACTGACAAGCTATTTTATAAATATATTTATTTCAATGAAATGTAAATTTTACAAGGATTGTTACCATATATTTTTTCGCCTCTGGCGTCATTAATCGGGAGTTCCGCAGCGAGGGATCAGGAGCCTTAAATGATGCCTTGACGTTTGTCAGAGCTAGAAATGTTATCTCGAAACTTTGCCACTCGATTCGACAAATACATATATGTTATTTACAGGGTACAGATTTCACTCTTCACTCGATATTGAATCACATCGCCTATGTGAATCGTGCGAAATCCGACACACCGTTGCACATACCGGAAGCGAACACTGCGGCTGCTAGAAAGTCTCAGGTTCAGAGAGTGTTAAACGTCACGTACACCACTGCAATTTTAGGGATCATCCTGTGCATTGTAGATGTTGCTCGTATTTTTGGACCATATGGTATCCTGACGAGACGATAATTATGAATAAATGATAATGAATTATTATTATTTATCAAAATATATTTTGATATAATTCTAATGTGATGAATTCGCGTTTCCAGGACTTCTTGCCGAGACGGTGCCGTACGGTACAGAACCAGCGACCACGCAATTTCCCAAACCATGGCCGTGGTTGCTGTATCAAACGCTGTGCAGGGCACTGGAACTCGTGATAGGCTGCGCCATGGCGAGTATAACTAAGCAGCCGTCAGTAAGTCCGCGACATCAGTATCTTAGCAATTATCCTAATTACTCGGCACGCGTAAAGCGAGGAAACAATCTTTACATATGAAGCAATATACTTCACAATCTCTTGATCGTAATCTGAAGAATCGAGATGTTAAATGGGAATTCTTCAGATTTTTCACGATTTGGTTCTGTATTATATCGAGCGAGAAATGATATCAGCCTTTAGCGTTATTTCCGACAATTAATGTTTCTCTCTTTCTTTTCGCAGCGATTCCTTAGGTTTGTTCGCGTTACTTGTACATTTCACACTTTTACACCTAATGCCCACTGCACTCCAAACAACAAATTCTCCAAAAAACGTTTTAAGGACGCTTTTAGAACGGAAAGATGTCATCAGAATATTTTTAGGACGTCTTTTGAAGATGTGAGCTGTCTGAAAATGGATAATATCCAATCAATTTATTCGCATTGATTGAACTTTTTACACTTTCACACTTAGTGCACATTACTTCTTTAGAGTTTCTAAAAATGACGTCATGATTTCCGTTCGTGTTACGAGTGTAAATGCAATTCTGATACACTTTTTACACTTGATTCCGAGCAAAAACTCTGAAGAAGTAATGTGCACTAAGGGTGAAAGTGTAAAAAGTTCAATCAATGCGAATAAATTGATTGGATATTAGCCATTTTCAGACAGCTCATATCTTTAAAGGACGTCCTAAAAATATTCTGATGACGTTCTTCCGTCTTAAAAGCGTCCTTAAAACGTTTTTTGAAGAATTTGTGTTGTTTGGGGTGCACTAATGTGCAACAAGCATTAGGTATAAAAATGTGAAAAGTACATGGACGTAAGAATATATGGACGGAGCAAATTGTCGCGGGGGTGAAGCCCAAGCAATGAGGGGAATGATTGTATGTATTGTAATGGAGTTATGATACCAAGATGGCGACAGTCGCTGTTTTTATACACTGAACCCAAAAACGCTAGATATTCCTGGAATATTCACAGAATGTTTTACAAAGCCAAAATTAACATCCCAAGAATGTCTTAAAACATTCCGGAATACTTATAGAATGTTCAAGGAAGATTCAAATAAGTGCTAAATATTCCACTTTTTTACAAATATTGGCGAATTGGTTGAAATAAAAAACCAATCAATATTTACTGACTTTACTTGATTCCAAATGTTACATCACACTTAAAAATTCTCACTAACACTGGGATTCGAACTTGGACCTGAGGCACTTTAGGATTATGAGCCTATTGCTTTAGACACTATACCACTATACCACTATACTATTTCTTATTGTACATGTAAGTATGTTCATGGAATATTCATGGAATATTCTGGATATTCTGGATTATTTGAACATTCTGTGAACATTCCTTTAATATTCCGATATATAGGGTGTCCCGAAACTACCGCATGCTATTTTAATGGCAGATTCTTTAGAACATTTCAGAACGAAAACTTTCATACAAAAATGTCGAGGCTATAATAGTTTTCAAACGGAAAGCGATTATATTTCACCAATGACAGGGCTGAAATATAATCGCTTCACGTTTGAAAACTATTATAGCCTCGACTTTTTTGTATGAAAGTTTTTGTTTTAAAATGTTCTAAAAAATCTGAAATACAAACGGAATATTCCAGAAATATCTAACGTTTACTGGGAAAATAGATACAAACTCCGGCACGAACATGGCCGCGACGATGTAATCCTCTTGCCCCTTGGGCTTCACAGCCCCTGTCGCAGCCCTTGCCCCAATCGCACTTTTCGCTCCGTCCATGTATTCTTACATCCATGGAAAAGTACAAACAACGCGAACAAATCTCTTGATTATCCTAGAATTATTATCAACATAAATATTGATGTATGCTCCCCCACGATATACATTCATATTCGTTGTTCCCTCCAATGACCAACTTAGTTTTAACTAAAAAGTATTATCGTATATAAAATATCATTGTATGAAATACCGTGTTATTTTCATATATAATGATAATCACGAATCGGTAACAATTTTTATTGAAAACTGTAATGCAAATACGTCAGTATATAAAAGAAAAAGGACCGTGTCTGATAACACGTTATACGCGAAGGCATAGCAATAGATCAGTCCAACATTCTAAAAAAAGGAGTACATATTTCGACGGCGTATATTAAAAAAAAAAGTGTTACTTTATGAAAAACTGCTTTTAATGGAAAGTGTTCACTCAAAGCATATACATATAATCTCGCAAACGACAGATATCTATTTTTCAAGTTTTAGATTAGTTTTCCGATGGAAATTCAGTTAAATAATTTTTACTGTGTTCCGTCATCTTCGGAAAAATATACCACACAAGCGCATATATATATATATATATATATATATATATATATATATATATATATATATATACACGTGTGTGCGTATGCATATATATTTTTTGCTGTTAAACAAATATACATATATTAGTTTTTTAACTCTCAGGAAATATTTTCAAACCAAAAAAAGAAAAGAAAAAGAACACAGACTGTATATAAGCAAGAAGATTATAGAATAATCTGCGACTTTTACTGATAACACGTGAAATAACGTTTTTACTATGTGTCAACCGCACCAATGTTTAGACCTAAAAGTACGAATCCAAATTCAAAGTGCCCTATTACTAAATGTTCAACAAAATTACTACAACTAATAACTAGTACATAGATGACTTTTATCTGCAAATGGAATTTGTAACAGTGTTGTGATCCTACATGTGATACATATTTATGTGTTTAGAATAGGAGGCCATTTTACGCTTATGTAAGCTTAAATAACATTACATTCCCTGAGATAAAAGACTGTCAAAGTGAGTTTATGATAAAAACAGAGATATATAATAGAATTATTGTAATCTTTTAATTTTATAATTCATTTTAATTTTTCTTTTTTTTTTTTATTTTATATATTGATATTAAACAAGAATAGTCAGTGTCATTAATTTCTGTTCCCAAAATTTTACTTCATCTGTCAATATATTTTATAATTCGATATGATATATTTTTTTTAATTTTTCGTATAAGATTACAACCGGAATTATTATTTCCTATGGAATTTTATATATTACAATACTTTATTATAATAAATATTAAATATTTTTATAGTTCCTTTTTTTATTGTACATATATGCATTCAGTATATTTATTTTCTGTGTATGTGTCATTTCACTGAACTCACTATAAAAAAGTGAGAAATCTAGTAATACTTACAAGAGCATAAAAGGTCTCAGTAACTATCTGTTTGAAATTTATAGTATAAAAATGGTAGTAATCTAAAATCATTGATGTTTCATGTGCCAAATACTCGTTAACTATTTTAAATGTTTACAAGAGATACAAAGTCATGTGTGTGTGTGTGTGTGTGTGTGCGTGTGCGTGCGTGTGTGTGTGTGCGTGCGTGCGTGCGCGTGCGCTATATATATATATATATATATATATATATATATATATATATATATATATATATATATATATATA